CACCGGCTTAAAATTCACACCGGGCATGTGTGTGTGCATGCCCAAAATTCCGAGAGGAGAATGGAGGAGAAGAAAGGATTGTGGCAGGGCCAGCCCCTCTGAGGAATGATTTCTCACTTTCTGTCTTTCTGTCTCTCCAGCAAGCACAAACAAAAATCCTGAGACTGGGTAATTTATAAAGAAATAGGAGTTTATCTGGACCAGTAGTTAGTGTATTGGCTATGTCGCTGGACTCCCATGTAGTCAACTGCAGTTTGCGTCCCAGACTCGGTGGCTTGAAACTCATGCAGGGCGCTTGTGTGTGCGTGCCCAGGATCCTGAGAGGAGAATGGAGGAGAAGGAATTGCAGCATGGCCATCCCCCTGAGGGGTGATTTCTTGCTTTCTGTCTCTCTGTCTCTGTCTGTCTGGCTGGCAAGCACACGCATCCTGTAGCAAAAACCTCTCAAAAAAAAAAAATAGGAGTTTATTTGACTCACAATTCTGGAGGCCGAAAACTCCAAGACCATAAGGCTGGTATCAATGTGTCTACAACTGACTAACAGCAGAGAGGATGGTGGACGTGTGCAGAGAGTGATTTGTGTTCCATGTCAGTGGGTCTCTAGCTGCTACATTTCATCTCTTTATAAACCCACCAGGACTCAGTCGTGGGGGTCCTGCCCTAACCACCCTATCACTAATCTCTTCTCAAAGGTTCTACCCTTCAACACAATACTTGGATCAAGTTTTCACTCTCCTAATCCTGTTACAGTACAAGAATTTCAGGGGACATTTGCAAGCTATCGAAGTATGCATAAAACATCCAGCCTTGCTAACACTTGACATACACAATCACTTTGGGCTAAGTATGTATAGAGTGTTATTGAAACAATTTGGTGTCAGTGTAAGTGTGGAGAAAACATCTCAGTGATTCTCACTTTCTTATAAGTAGTTAATGATTGTGACATTTATTAACATTTCCAGGCAGGTGGAGTACATATTCCAATGTCCCATTAACAGATCACATGCTTTCTCTCCCGCAGAGGAGGGGGTGTGTGGAGGACAAATGGATGGTAAAGAATGCCATTTCCAGCTGAGAAGTTTTCCAAGAATCCTGCAAAGCTTTTTCTAAGAAAAAATTACAAGTAACCCCAAAGGAAGTTAACCTCTAGGTAGTTTATGCTGTAGTGAGAAGAACTGATTTAAACCATGCAAAGGTCCAGGAGGGGTAATCTCAGAGAAGGCCTGCTCCCCAAAAGTGCCAAAAGGAGGACCCACCAGCCTCGAAATCAGGCAGCACTTGTGAACAAGAGGAACCACCCTAGTTTACTTCAGCAAAAGGGTATTCAGTGGAAGGATATGGAGGTATGGAGGAAGGGAGGCCAAAAACATCAACTGTAGGGTGAAAAATTAGCAGGACTGGACATGAAAAGAAGCCAAGGAAGGCCCAGCAAAAGTAGCACTAACTTTTGGAAGGAACAGCTTCATGGAGGGAGGGAAGCACCTGGTATTAATTAACCTCTCACTCAGAGCACAGGCAATAGGGCAAAGCCAATTCTCTGTGGTAGGGACAGGAGATTGGATGATACCAAACAGCAATGGAAAGTGTTCTCTGTAATTTTCTGAGACTGTGGAATGATTTAGGAAGGGAAAAGGATCCAATCTCAAGTCTGACAGTAGGCAGCTCCAGTGCAGGCAGAGCAGATGAAAAGATAAATTCCTCCAACAAGTCCTTGCCATTCCATATTCAGAGAGGACAGTAGATTTTTTTCAAATCTTATTTATTTACTTCTTCTATAATACAGAAAGAGAGACAGAGAGATAGCACCTCCAAAGGAGTCTTTACACTGTTATCCTCCCAGCTTCAGCCAGCCCTTTTTACAGATGCAAGCCCAGAATATCCAGGGGGAACTGCAGACACAACTGCGAACCTTCTTGTATGGGTCAGTCTTGCAAAATGACATGTTTTAACTCTGCACCAGCCACCAGCTTGCAGCCCAACATAGTTTGCATGAGAGGTGGCATTTCAAATTCTTAACACCATGGGAGACCCTTACAACTGCCAAAACATCACATTTAACGTCACTGCCTCACCTCTCAGGTGCATAGATGATGAAATCGTAACTCATCGGCTATCTCAACCATCAAATGAGATACCAAATTTGACAAGTTTTTAGTTGTTTTTTTTAATTATGACCTAAGATGCTATACAGAAATGAAACATCATTCATATTTTTTTAACCCTTGAGAAGAGATTAGCTCTCCTGAGAGCTGGTTGCAAGAGAGAGAGAGAGCTGCTCTTTGCACATAGTTGCCATCCTCTGTACTTCCATTGGTCACATTGCAGACTGACCTGATGCAAGGACTAGGCCTTCAGACCTTACTGCTGCCAGAATTCTAAGTCAATTAAATTCCTATTCCTATATAAATTGCCCAGTCTCTGTTATTTCTGTTAATAAGGCAATAATGAACTAAGACACATGCCATGCATACACTCACCATACACATACATGCATACACATAATTTCTAAAACTCAAAGAAAAGCTTTATTAGTACTCAACTCTTATGTCATCCTCAAAATACAAGCCATGTTGAATAAAGCATGCATGCAATTATCCAGATATTTAGATTTTAAATTTTTTCTGGCACATAATGAAAACCAAAGCATTTGCATTTCTTTTTGCTGATCAGTTATCATTATTATTACTATTATTTTTGAGTTTGGGTTATTTATTGAAGGGGTGGTATGAAAGCGAATATCAATTTTTTAAAGAATTATTTTATTTAACTTTATTTATTATTATTGTTACTTTCTAGTTTGATCAGACAGACAGAGAGAGAGGGAAAGTGAGAAAGCAAGCCACCAGATTCAGGACTTGAACCATGGTTGGCCATGTGGGAGTCCAGCGCCTTTATCCACCATGCTACCTGCCGGCCCCAACAATATCAATTTTTAAGGTGTTACCTAGATTGAGTTCACTTATTGACTAACTCTTTTCCTACTTGCTATCCGTCTCCATTCCTTCCTCACTTCTTTCCTCCCTCATTCCTTTCGTCTTACTTCCTTCTTCCTTCATTCCAGAAAGATTTAAAGAGTTTTATTTGGAATGTTCATTCCACTATCATATGCTTATCATTTTGGTGAATAAATTAATGGATGAATGAATAAAACCTTCTTGACTGTTTAAAATATCAGCTTTTCTTTATCAAACCTTTTTCTCTAATTCTGTTTCCTCTCTAGCCTAGTTTTATAATTCCTATAACCCTGGAGTCAAGAGAGCTTACATTCTCAATAGACAACTCCATTTTTGCAAATAGAAAAATGAGACTAAACGAGTGGAGAGATTTTGAATTCTTAGAAATACTCAGATTTTTTTTCATCTCAGAAAAGTTACTAATATGGAGAGACACAATGAGAAGACACAATGACTCCTTTTCAAAAGAGGAAATTCTCAGAAAACTTAAGCTAATCAATTTGTCATTTCTATACATGGATAGCCAAAAGCCACTTGCTTTAAAAGTAAGAGCAAATTACTAACATTTGTGATTACTATTAGAGCAGGAAAGTGAATGGAAACTCCCTGAAAAAAAGATCTATTCAGAGCTGTTACTTTCCAGCTTCATTTAAAAATATAATTGTTCATTATGTTTCTCAGGACTGACTTCATAGCCATGCAAAACACCAACATTTCATCTATGCATGCAAACCTTAAGGTGGAATAAGAGACATCTTTTCCTCAGCTCCCTCTTCTTGTAAAATTATCTTGATATTACGTTAGAATCTTCCATATTAGGAGCATTCGTTCTCAAGAGTACTTACAGGCTATCTAGACACATCTCAGGTTTCATGTTCTGCTTTTATTAATCCATCCCGCCACCATAGAGATGTCAAAGTCTGTGATGGCAGAGGGGAATAAAGGTGACCAATTTATGTGTGAAAAAGAGTCTTAGGCTGGGAGTGAAACCATTGGCATTTTCATCTCGGTGTTTGGTTTGGTAACCTTAAATTAATGTATCATTTTAAACTAGTTTCTTCATCTATAAAATGAGAGTTGGAAAAATTAATAATCATAAGAAGTCTCCTTCTAACTCTAAATATTGAGCAGTTATCGTTCTTCTGATTCAGCTTATCTGTGCCTTGTCATGGTCATGGGTTGGCAGCCTCTGTTCTAGCAGGAGGTTCGGCCTTTCGGAACTATTTCTATATATTTGTAATACAGTGCATCACCTAACACTTACCTTTGCTCATTCCCTACAAGAATAGCCAGCAGTTAGTGATTCCAACTGTATTGAGAGCCCATGAAGTATCAGGAACTGAGAAATGCAGTAAAATTCAGGCAGTAGAGAGCACAATAGGTAGCTCAGAGCCTAGAAAGCATCTCCAGTAACAAAGAGGTTGGACTCAGCAGCACACTGCATTGGCAGTTTTGGTAAATGAAGAGAATCCACGTGGATGGAGAGCAACATGTCTTCTTTAACTGAGCTTCCCAAGCCTAGGAAGGACTGCTACATTCTTTCGCACTAGATTTTAGAGGAACTTTTTCCCTCCAGAAAATTAAATCCTGAGAGATTCAATTTTTAAATCTAAACCAAGGCCAATTACATTTAAAAAAAAAAAAAAAAAAACTAAGATACAAACAAAATTGGGGCCAGTATGTGACATAATGGTTAAGATACTGGACTCCCACATGGCCAACTGAGGTTCAAATCTCAGACCCAGTGGCTTGAAATTCATGCCTGGAACATGTGCATGTGTGTGCAAAATCCCAAGAGGAGAATGGAGGAAAAGGAATTTTTTACATGATCATGCCCCCTGGGGGGTGATTTCTCACTTTCCCTCTCTCTGAAACTCTCTATCTCTCACCTCTCTGCAAGCACATGTACCCTATGAAAAGCTAAAATAAATTTTTTTTAAGAAATAAACAAAATTGCTTAAGGACATTGATTCAGGTAACTGCAGGTGATTTTCACAAACAGGCCTATATCATGTTAAGGATTCTAACTCACTTCACTTTCAACAGGTGCTTCCTGGACATCTAGAACCAAGCTCAGTCTTCATACAAAACCCAAAATGCCTCCATGTGACTTCACACCTGAACGATACCAGGTAAAACTCAGGACTTTAGGAAAACCCAAAGAGGTGATTCTTTTACGAGGTCTCAATCAGTTGTTTCCTTAAGAATGACCCCTAGGCCAAGTGATGGCATGGGGATGATGCAACCAAACTCATATGGGAAACACTCTGTGTTTGCATCCCAGGACCTTCCTGCGTATGCCAGGGCACTTGTGATTGCCCATAATCTAGACCAATTGAGGCTGGATCATGGAATGGAGACCCTGTTGGAAGTGTCTCTCTATCTCTCAGAAAAAAATAAATCAATGAACTTTTAATAAAAAATGACGCTGCTTGCCACTAAGCTATCTTAGCCCAGATATTCTACTCTTGAAGATACCTCTGAAACCCTCTTACTTTATTTAATACTAGTGTATGAGCTGGTATGCGTGTGTAAGGGAGAGAGCCAGTGAATACAAGAGCGAGCATACAGTACAGTACATGTATCACAGGAGGATACACACACACACCACTAACGTAATGGCACACATTTGCTTGCTTTAAAAATATTGTTTCCTGCCATGGTTTGTAAAACCGTTTGTCTTCCAAAGGTTCATGTATCAGAATCTTGGTTCCCATGAACAGATTAGTTTCCACTCACAGGAGGGAGTTCTCACTCTCACAGAAATGGATTAGTACCTGTGAGAGTGAGTAAGTAAAACAGTCATGTGGCTTCACGTAGGTCAGTCTCTGTCTTTGCTGACGCCCACCGACCTTTCTGCTTGTTGGCCATGCTGTAGTACCAGAGGCTGACCGGATGCCAACCCTAAGCCTTTGGACCTTCCACCCACCAGAATCGTGACCCAAATAAGCCTCTATCCTTGAGAAATCACCAAATCCAGGGTATTTCTTATTTAACAAGTAAGACATTGCCATTTTGACTAACTCACATGGCAATGCATAATTTGACCTTCCTGCATCCTCCAACAAAATTATAAAGCTGTCTTTTTGTTCTCAGCTAATCAAGATTGGGTTGGCTCTCTCCTTTTCTCTCTCTCTCTTAACAATGTTTTTCCTGCATCATACTTATAGATTAGAAACTATAGAACCAATAGATAGTCAGGTGGAACCCACAAAGAAAAGAAGTATGGAAGAATTTTTATAATTTTTTAAAAGAATTATTTTATTATTTATTTATTTTAATTTGAACAGAGCAAGACAGAGAGAGAGAAAGTGAGAAAGCAAGCTGCCAGGTCCAGGACTTGAACCACGATCACCCAAGTGGGAGCCCAGTGCCCTCAACCACCACGCCATCTGCTGGCCTCGAGCTTTTATAATTAAAGACATGAATTCTGCCAGCACTTCAGTTTATTCAAAAAAAAAAAATCCTGTGATAGCAAACATCACTTATTACTTTTTATTTCAGACATTTACTTCCAAAGTCCTTTTTTTTTCCCCATAGCTAAAATCAACTCAAAGACAAGATTTTCCTTTGAGAGATAGAAATACCACTCTCCTCCTTTGTGATTGATCTTGAAAGGCCACAATAATGTCACCTACTTACAAGGAAGGGCTTTTTTTTTTTTTATATTGGGTAAATACACCCGCTTGTGTGCCTCTAAAGGGTGTCAGCCCCCTGTTCAGTTCATTTGAGAAGCTATGTGACATTGACTGCTGTTGATCTTGTAAGAAATGTGGAGATAAGGTTTTAATCTTTTCTATCTACAGTCCCTTGCCTATGACCGTGTCCTGGAGATCCACAAGCAACATCTTTCTCCGGTGGGGACAGCATATTTCCAGAAGCCTTTGTTACTCCACCAGGGGCACATGGAGTGGCTATTTGATTCTGAGGGAAATAGATACCTGGATTTCTTTTCTGGGATTGTCACTGTCAGTGTTGGTCACTGCCATCCGTGAGTATCCCTTACAATCCAGGGGGTTTTATTCTAGAATGATGTATGGAGAACAATTATGTTAGTAACTCAGACCCCTTGATTCACTTATTAAGTCCTCATTAACAAAATATCTCTTAGATTGTGACTGACATACTCCGTGCTTTCCTGGGTAAAAAATCTTAATGCTGCACTCTTTCTTTTCTTAACAATGCAAAATTTTGTTGTTCGCATTGCACATGTTGTGTGGCATGTACCATGTGATTACAGTGTTGCTACATATTCCCCACTAACAATTTTCCAGCGAGATGGATGCACTGAGGGAGAGACAGAAAGGAAGGGAAAAATAGGTAGCTTTCAGCAAAACATGGAGACAGGTGTGGGGAGTAAGGAATGGTGAGAGACGAGAACTTCTGGCCAGAAGATCTTATTCAGGGACTCTTGGGTAAAAGACGAGGAAAGAAAAAATGGTAACACACAGATGTAATCCTAACTGTAAATCTACTTGGAAATGTATGAATTAATTCATCTCTAGATAGTCTACTGTACTGATCATCAACTCACCCAAATGTTCTGGTTCATCTATGGTCTTCTTTGTTTGCATGCAGCCATCTTATCTTAATGTCTATTTTCTCTTTTCTTTTACATATAACCAATAGAACCCACACTAACTGGAAGAAAAAAATAATAAAGCAGTGAGTCTAAAATAAATTGAATAGGTTTGGACCCATCTGTCAAAGCAGTAAGCAGAGTCTCCTCTGAAGCAGCTGTCAGGAGGTGAGGAGCAGGCTGTGCCTCTTGGCCCAGCCTTCATCTTCTCCTCCCATTGCTGTTTCTTTCCCTGCTGTTTCCAGAAGGCACTAGTCCCATCCACAGTCCCAAGGAGTATCCAGATAAATTTCAGATGCAATCTAAAACATAGGACAAACATAAATGAAAGAACTGGAGAAAACCAAATGAGTAAATAGATAAGGATTTTAAACATTCTCACTAACCTCCCAAGAATATTCCACACTATCCTTATTAATTTCCCATTCTGACTGGCTTGCACCTTTGTGCTTCTCCTGACCTTCATCTAACCCCTAACTCTGGAGGATTCCCTCATTCTTTCTTTAGCCTTTAGCCTTCTTTACTCCCTTCCACCCTTGCCATTTCCTTCCATAGAATTGGCCCCACAGTATCTTCCCACTTTTGCTCATTTCATTTCTATGTTTTCAACAAAATTACCCAACTCTATATCTTCAGCTTTGGCCCCTCCCAAGCTATAATGATAACTGTAATAAACCCAGCGTGGGCAGTAAATGCCTTATATGTCCCGCTGTCATTACCCCTGTGATATTCCACCATCAATTCGAATTCAACATTTCTAAGACTAAATCCATCATCCCCCCGAAACTGTTCCTAGTGTCCATGTATTCAAGGAGCACTTACAAATTCTCCACTCTGGAAAAGTTCTCTGCTCAGAGCTGGGGAGCTAGACAATGGGTTGCTTTTTTCAGCTAATTCTTGAGTCTCCCCATGATTCCAGGTAAGAATGTAGAAGTGATCTTTCACTCTTCTCTGACTTTGATTCCCTGTAGCCAAACTGATATCAAGGTCTGGTTTTGCCTCCACTGAACTGCCTCCCTTAGAGCCCCCTCCCATCATTTCCCACTAACACCAATCCCCCGGAGCACTTCTCTTCTCGCTCTTAGAAGGTTACTGTGTGTTCCAGCAGGCTTCCCCTCTCCACTCCACCCTTTGGCTCTCAGATTCTTTTTACTAAATAATGCTTTTGTCAAGTGTCTCTTCTTTTTAAGTGTTTGCTATACATAACTTTGTAAAGTAAGTTTCACAAAACACTGATCACACACAAAAAATGCTATGGGAAATGGTCCCATAAGTAATAAGTTTGGGAAGCATTAAAACCACAACTCTCTCTAGCAGAAAAACAGTGTGCATTAGCCCATTAAAGATACTCAAACTCCTACAGTGAAGAAACCTGTTTGCAGACCATCTGGTGGTATGGTGGCTAAGGTGGCTAGAACCCACATAGCCGAATGAGAGGTTTGAGTCCCATACCCACCAGCTTGAAAAACACACTAGGTGTGTGTGCAAGCATGCCCAAAATCCTGTGAGAACTGAGGAGAAAGGATTATGGCATGGCTACCCTGGGGGATGATTTCTCACTCTCCCTCTCTTTCTCTTTTTTTATACTCACCCTCCAGCAAAAACTGGAAAAAAAAAAAAAACTGTTGATTTAGTATTTCTCAAAATAATTTATTTATCCACTGATCTGATTTTTTCCTTCTGCTATGAAAGATATTAACAAACAGAATTGTATATTAACAAATCTTAGGAATTGTTTTTTAGATCAAGATCAGGCATCTTGGCCTGTCATTTCAAGGCCTTTCTAGCCAGGGCCCATTTATCTGTCTACACTGAGTTCTTACTATCCCTCAGTATGAACCTTCTGAGCCTGTAAGTTTGGCTTGATCCTTCAAAGAATGTGGTTTCATAGTTACAAAATGTTCATTAATGCTTATCATCATTCAGATCCAGATTATGGACTCTCCTTTGAAGGAAAAAGGAAATACTATTAATCCTGTATACATATACTTGATGAGTCTATAGTTCTACCGAAAAACAAAACGGGAAGATACTCAAGCTTCTATCTAGTCATCTCTGTTCTGCAAACTGTTCAAATAACAGTTAATAAGACAACATAGTTGGATGAAATTTTAAGGCTAACCTTCCTCCTAAACTAGGAATTTCTTTCCCAAGCTCCCTAATTGAATCTCTCTCTATATTTTTTTTTCATTTTATTTATGTATTCCTTTCATGAGAGA